AATTAAACCCTGTTGAGAATCTGAATCACTAATACACATGGCAATAAAAGGAAAATAAATTAATTTTTCATTTCCCAAAGCATCCTCCAAATAGAATCACTGTCTCTGTAGAACAAGTCACTATAAACACTGAATTAAGAAAATTTATTTTATGCCCGGCCAGGCGTGGCTCAGCGGTTAAGCATCGACCTAGGATCCAGGAGATCGAGGTTCGATTCCCGGTCAGGGCACATGCCCGGGTTGCGGGCTCGATCCCCAATGACTCTCTCATCATTGGTGTTTCTATTTCTCTCTCCCTCTGCTGCCCTCTCTCTGAAATCAATAAAGATATATATATATAAAAAAAAGAAGCAAATTATTTTAGATGAATTTCTGTAATTAATATATTCTTCGTTGTTTCTAAAGAATAATTTCAACTCCCTTAAACTTGAAAATTACTATAAGCCGCAAATACTGAGGACTGACTGCTGAATTATTTAACATTAATAGATAAGATTGATCATGGTATAAAATACTGTCAAAAAAAAAAAAAGATCCATTACAAAAGTCCATTTAGTATCAAAAGCTTTTTTTCTCCTTCATTCTAAGGAAACATGAACCACTCCCATAAATACGGAAGCCTAGAGATTTAGAAAAACCCCTGAAATACTGGATAAACTACAACAATGGCCTTTTAAATACAGAACTTAGCTTACAAAATAGGAAGGAAAATCCTCAGGAAACAGAATCAAAAAAGAAAAGTGACACATCAGTACTAGGTAAGCACTGAAGGCCCTGAAACCAAAGTCTTCTATTGGGCCCACACAAGATGAGGTGCTAGAACTGAACTTTCCGAACAAAGCTAGAACTCCTGAAGGATACATTAGCATAAGGGTGGGATAGAAAACAGTCTTATGAGCCTAGTAAAGGAGATGACAAGATTAACTGTCATTATGGGCCTTGGTTCACAGCTGGGGGTTGAGCAAAGGAGATAAAAGAAAACTAGATAAAACTGGAGAGAAAATTAGCACACTGAATATAGATCTGACTTGAGGTTAGAGTGAAAAAATAAGATTATATTAAAGAGAAAATGAGAAAACAGAAAAAGGTCTAATATTAGGAATCACATGAAGACATAATAAACAGTGTGTGAAAGGTTATATTCAGTGAGATAATGTCTGAGTCTTTCATAACAGATGAGGGGACTTTAGATTCAGGAAGCATTTCACCGCCACTCCCCCCCC